TATTTTTTTTAGGTTTTACATTTGAATAACCAAAAAATCAAATTACCACGTCAATACCATAGAATTCCACTATAATTTATCAAGCTTAGTAACTAAGATGTATTTTAGTCTTAAAAAATATTAATGAAATTTTGAGCAGACTAAAGATACAACCTACTTCCTTAAAACCTTGGTTCAGAAGAAAGAAATGGTGTCCTAATAATTTGAAATAGCTGAGCAAGCCACTAGGGGGACATTCTTACATTCTTAGCTTCCAAAAGGTTATTCATGTCATATATAGAAGTAAGTATATACAAGGGAGCATTTCCATAAATGGAAAGAAGTGGACGGTGCCACCGTGTTTGATTTATTACATGAGCAATATCTTAGCAAATAGAAAAAATAAGATCTTATTATTTTATATACTAGCTGGTAAATATATGTAATTTGAGTTTCTAATTTGTCAAAACTATAGACTTAGTATTTTGACTTCACAAACACCTAATTTGAACAAGTGCTGCATTCAATATACAACGTGAAGCACAAAAATCGATGTTTATCTGTGTTTTTTTAATATTTACTTTTAAATTGAGTAATGTATAATACTAAAATTTGAATTATAATCTACAGTTTGATACCAAACTTATTGACGTAAATTTATGAAATAGTAGTTCAATAAAATTATGAATGTGAGTTAACAAATGATATGACATAACCTTTCATCTGTGACCCGTTTCGAAAGGGTTAAATTTTTTTCTTCACATAAAATATGTTTCTTTTACTTACTGCTTTAACCTATATGTGTAGATAATATCATATAAGTGCATGTTCTTAAACCAATTTCTTTGGCCTTGTCAAAATGATTCAATAGAATAAAGTTCCTATATACATACCAAAACTGTGGTCTCTTACATCCACACCTGATACACCACCCTATTAATTTGAGAGCCCTCTTTGAGATATTTTTTGAAACATGTACCAACCTTAACTTTGCTAATTTTTCAAGATAGTAAAAGAATTGTATATGGATAATGAATTATGTTGCTATCAATATAAAATAATGTTTTTTATCATTTCTTATTAGAATTTTTTAATTTTCTTATAATTTGAGTTTATTATGTACATATTTGTCCTATAGTGTATTTAAATGAAATTCATTCCATAAATTAAAAGCACAAGAAAAATAATCTAACTCCAAGGAAAATTCTAGAAATCTAATATAAAAAAAAGCACAGTAGTTTAATGTTTCATTTGTCACTTGTAACTTTAAAGCTAACTTGGAAAAAATGTCTTTTATTTCATCTATTTATATATTTATTTTTTTGGAAATGCCAATCATAAAATTATGTTTACACATTTTTATGATACTAAATTTTTATTTTTAAGTTTATTTAGATGTTCATAACATGTGATAATTAGTTACTGTGTGTCCAGGAAGAAAGCAGTGTTTGAGGGATTTTGTACATATTAACCTTAAATGCTTACCATAGTGTGAAACACTTAAAAAATCAGGTTTACAGATGTGTTGCAGTTTACACAAGACTCATAATGAATTTAAAAAAAGTATTTACTTAATGTTAAAGAAGTTATAAATTAGCTGTTTGTGTAACATTACATTACAATAAGAATAATGGCAATTTTTAACATATCTTTCTTTGTTTATGCTCTATGTATATGTGAAATGCTATTATATTATTCTTACAGGAACTCCATTTAGAACAAGTCCTGTGATTTATAAATTGTGGCTTTGATTGTTCAATACCCATCCATCCTAATGAGATGTGGTATTGAGTGTGCAGCACACAAAGTGTGTGTTCAAGATTCTGTTATATTCTTCTTACTGGAAAACTGTATACTACCAGTAAAGAAATGTTTGTTAAAAAATGTCCTCCTTATTCTGATGTGATATCAAACAAATAACTGATCCATAGACCATGTTTTGCCAACACAAGGCATTCTATACCATAAAGTCATATTTATAGCTTAAACATAGGATGATACATTTGTATTAGTTACAACCAGCTGAGTAGTGCTTTAATATCAGAACAGTGTTTTCATGACAATGATAAAATGTAATATTTCACTAGACTGATGTTTTATAAAAGTATATATTAATTATTTGCTGTATTATAAGTGCATTTTGAGAAAGAAATAGTATAATTCATTGTTTACTGATAGCATGAAATTAAATTAAGTTGGTGAATAGTATTTGTGATCAAATTTAACATTACATTTAGTTCATAGCAACAATTGTTTCCTTGTTTTGAAATAAAAGAACATTACAGTTATAGAAAATAACCATTCATATTGATGCATTTAACAAATGTTGAATGTGTATTGACATAATAAATAGTTTTTTGTTCCTTTCTATAGGTTTTATATGTTAGTTACATTTCCATAAAATATTTTCTTTTTATTAGGTGAAGAGACATACTATGATATAAAGCTTTCCAAAAAACAGAGACCACCGTTATCTCTACCGCCTGCACCATCGTGTCTTAGTCCAGAACAAGTGAGTCTCAGTAGTATGAGCTTAAAGTTATTGTAATAGAAAAATTACTGAATGAGTGATCTAGATACTTGCCGGTAAAATTCAGTATTCATGTTGTGATATATTGCTAGTTTTGAAAAGTCAGTAACACCTATAATAACTATGTATTTGACTTAGTGATCTGTACATCAGCTAATATATTTTCAGATTGCAGCTATTGAAAACTTGCATGGCTGCTTCTTATAGACCAATTTTTATTTTGCTAGCTTAAAAGGAGGTACATAGTAGGAAGTATAGCAGACAGTGAGAATTCTTATGTTACAACACTTCAAAGGCTTATAAAGGTATGATAGAAGTATATTAGGTTTGTTTAGGATAAAACCTTAACTTTTACAAACATTTATTGAAAATAAAGCTGTATTTTCAGTATACAATGTACTCATCTTATAATGGAGTAATCATTGTTTAGGATTTCATATTTCATTGGTCTTGATTCTAATCATTATCGTAATGTGTCAGTGACTTAATATAAGGACATGCTGAAAAGTACCAATCAATATTATAATTGGTTTAACATTGATTTTGCATAGTAAAAGTCAGTAGTAATGATGTAGTTCTGTAGAATGTATGTGATGTATAAAAAAGCATTTCCTAAATGTCTTAGTACTCAGAACGTCATAAATAACAGTTGTTTCAAATGAAATATGTGATGGATTTGTAAGTCACAGAAAAGGATGTGATTGAGGAAATACTAGCCAGGAAGTTACTCATATTTAAAAGAAAAAGTTTCTATTGTTAAATAATACAACATTTAAAAGCACTTAATGTTATACCCAATCAAGTCTACTTCTAATATCCCATGCACCCTTTAAATTCATTAAAGTGTCTTAGTTTTCTTTAAAAAGGATTACAAAAGACCTTTGGAAGAATGTAGTGCTCCACTAGTCAGCCCAGCTAAGATCAACATCATGTTCTTCCGAGTGGAACAGATACTACAGTGTCATACCATCTTTGGCATTGCATTAAGCCAATGTGTGAGAGAATGGGATGCACTTGAAAAGATTGGAGATGTTTTTGTAGCTTCAGTAAGTTATATGCAGTTTATTTTACAGCATTACATTTTCCTTGATAATACAGTACATAACTTTGTTTGAAAGTAATGACATACAATTCAGATTAAATTGTTTATATGAAATATATTGTTTAAAACCATTTTTGTTGTTTTGTTAACCCTGTTACAATTGTTGAACAGCTTTCTGGTGTCAAGTGCACACTTCAATATCTAATTTCAAAATTTCAGTACAAAATAGTGATTCTGACTATTTCAACAACTGTTTTAGTGGAATTTTCAAAGAAAAGTTTTAAAAAATATTTGTACTTTAATCTCTGTACAACTCCAAGAGGTATTGACTGTAAACAATGTCCTCAAAATATTAACTTATATCTACTTAGAAACTGTGATCCCTTAGAAATAGGTTATCCATGTTTCATTTCTCAAATAAATTTCCTTTTCTGTTAGTGATTTTGGTTTTACAAACCTGTGTGGCCAGCCTTTTATGATATCACAGCAAATGAGTTGGACAGTAAATAAAACAAATGGCTAGAAATTATAGGATTGAAAAGATTCTTGTTTATCTATATGAATTATAGCTTTATTGAAAAAAAGTGCTAAATAAATCTATAAGATTTTAAGCACATGCAAAATACTCAAGATGAAAGGATTTTTTTTTAATGTTTATTAAACCCTATGACAACAAAATTTCAAAAAAAATTTACAAGCTAAACAATTATACAAATACTAAACCAAACTAGATATTATGTAGAAAGTGTGTTCCAACTTTCATGCAATTAGGTTAACCGTTTGAAGTGTGAAGTGTAAAAGAAATGGGTATCATGCTGACATTATGGAAAGACTAATGAATTATTTTTAAAAAAGTAAAACATACATAAGTCTTCAGTATATGAATTTCCCAGTGTTTTACTTAATCTTCTCCCACACTCAAGAAAATGATTGAACAAATTCTCAAATAGTTTTTGATTCTTTTCTCCACTTTGTTTGAAAGTGTAATGGCATCAGTAATACCAATTTTGAGATGAGGTTTTGTTTTTCAGTTTTCGAAAGCCATGGTTTTAGACATTTACAGTGATTTCATCAATAACTTCTCTCTCGCTATGGAAACAGCAAAACAAGCTTCAAAAAATAAGTCTGCTTTTGCTGACTTTTTAAAGGTAAATAGTACAGGTTCAAGATTTGATTTTCATTTGTTTTTTATATCTATGCTTTTACTGAAAAAATTTGAAACATTTTTCTAATGCTTATAATGACTAAACATCAGGAATTACAGTATGAAAAAGTTCTTATTTTGCATTTTCTGTTTATATGGGACTAATTAGTTATAATCAAAAATGTATTTTTAACATTGTACTTTATTTATTCGTCAAATAAATCAGCCCTTGAAATGAAATGAAATAATTTTCCATAAATGCTTTTGTAAATTAATCTTGCAGGAGCAAGAAGTATTAGAATTCTGCAGTTTAGACTTTGATAAATTAGTGAAGTGAACTTACAGTTTAATGTTGCTTTAATTAAATATAATTGAATTTGTTTATTTATAAAGATGTACGGTAGTGTAACAATTTAACAGTTGAGCTTATATTTAATGTTCAGACATTATATTCTGATTTAATGTTTCATTTGAATCTAACAATTAAAACTATGCGAAATCTTCTAAGATGTATTGGGTAGGGTAAAATAATAGTAGTTTTATACAAGAAAATGTGTGACATGTCAAAAATAAAGAACAGTAAGATATTAAAGTTTTTTATGAGTAAATATGATCCTATGAAAGTGATAAAAATATCAGTGTTCCTTCTTTCCAAATGTCTAGCTGAAAGAAACCTTCAAAACATGATAAATATCTTTAGTGTTACATTTAATCATGTTATTTTATTACCTTGAATTTTCTTCTATGATATATAAATAAATTTCTGAATACTTATCCTAAAATATCTCTAAGGAAAAGGAAATATGTGTTCCTTTAATATGAATTTGTTGGGAAAACCAATTTAGGAAATTAATATAAGCCTCAAGCAAGTATTATATTGGATAAAATTGTTTAAGCCATAGATCTTTGGTAATATCAAAAACATTTCTAAACATTTCTGTTTAGAACACAAAACATTTCAATTCATTTCTACTTTAAGAAATTTAATAATATAATAAACCTTTAGGACCTTTTGTCTTTAATTACAAAAAATTCATTTAAGAATTTAATCAAATAGAAGTTGACAACTTATCATGTAACTGTGATAATAGTGTTTTTAAAGATATCTTTCATAATCAAACAGTTACAGGAAATTTAGAAGTTGTCAAAGATAAAAGAATTACAATCAATATTAAAGAAAGGTACTAAACATAGAATTTTAAAATGCACAAAAAAATGTGAAAACTTAAAAGACTTAGAGAAAAATATTGACAATTATATTCTTAAAATAAGTAAACAATTCTATTATCCACCATGTTTCTTTTTTGAATGGAAATTATATTTTCTTAATTCAATAAAGAATTGAGTAAGAATCTTAAACTTATCTTGATATAAATTAGACATTTCTTTCAATGTCTTTAAGAATAAAATGATTTCAAAAACAATTCATTATTACCCCAATTGATAGAGCTGGTTGTAATTTAGTTTTTTGTGTAGAAAAATTATATGCACAAATTTTACTTAATGAAATTAATACTACAAGTACTTTTACTAAAAGTACTTTAAAGAAAAATAATGTTATTACTGATTTAAAGAAAGCTGTTAAAAATGGATTATCCATATAGATTATTCTTGTACAAATTTACCATTTTTACATGCAATTCCAAAATTGCATAAAAATCCCATGAAGTTCAGATATATTACTAATTCTTTAAATATAGTCATTAAATCTGTTTCCAAAGTACATAACATTATTCTTAGTGTTTTTTTTTGAAAAAATAAAAACACAGTCTTCAAATAACCACAATAATTATTTTTGGATTATTAAAGATAACATTCCAGTTTTGGAATTTTAAATAATTTAAATTGTTAAAAAACTGCCAGTTATATTTATTCATATGACTTTACTGCATTATATACTAAGATAGACCTAAAAGATGTAATCAGGGTTTTCAATGATTTATTTGTCAACTTTATAAATAATGAAATAACTATACCCAAATTTAAATTTACTAGAATTCAGTGTAAAAATATACTCTATTTCTGTATTTATAACAGTTATATTGTTTTTAACAAACAAGTATTAAAACAAATGGTAGGTATTCCAATGGGAATGAACTACTCTTCAAAAATGGACAACCTGTATCTGTTCTTTTATGAAAACTCGTTTATGAAGCAGACTTTAAATCCCAACTTATACATTTACACTTTCCATTACGTAGATGATTTAATACCTATAAATAATATGAATTTTACACAGAACTTACAATAGAAAGAAGTAATAATAATGAGGTCCATGCTAATTATTTAGATTTGGACATTACTTTTATAGAAGGTACGGTGCAATTGACTATTTTTGGTAAAAGAAGAGAATTACATTTTTCCCCTTTTTGGTCTACCCACTCCTAATAGTGTTATTCCGTGTATCACGTTAAAAGGTATTATTATATCTCAACTAAAACGGTTCTTAATAGTCTGTAATAAATATTATTTTTTTAATGATAATTTTCTATTATTAAAAAATAAAGTATTTCTTTAATTGCCTTTCAGTTTATTTTTTAATAAATACAAAAATATTTTATAAACTAAACTTTCGATTAAGGATATCTTATAAAATTAATAAAATAAAGAGGGAGTTAGTTACTTTATCTTATAAGTAGCTAATAGAAATTTTTTCAAGTAATTTTATTCAGTATAACTGGGGCAGAAAGACTAACTTCAAGTAGCTGGGCTTTTCTCAGAATTCCCATGTTATACTTGAATAAAATTTCAGAAGAAAGGGAGGAGGTTGGGAGTAAGAACTTTTAAGGTAGGGTTTATAGTTCTATTTAATATCTTTTTGTAAGAGTGGAGGTTGGGAGTTTAATTAGTAGAAATATTAGGGTGGCTTTATTTCAATTTATTTCAACTTTAAGAAATTTAAGGGTAACTGCCTACCTACAACTGGCTATAGACAATGATAGGCATTAGAAGTTGTGACATTGTGGGTGTAAGCACTCAGCTTCATACCCTTATTTGATTTTCCATGAAGGCTGATTAGATTAACATCAGCGTTTATCTGATAGATGGAATATTCCCAATGCATTTGGGTGCTATTACCACAGACATTATCCTTTATGACAATAAGTTGACAACCTGGACTGATAACAGTAATGCAATATTTAATTCATTATTGTTTTATGGTGCTGATTTAATCAGCTATTAACAATCAATGTAATCAATAGTTTTTGAACTATTTATTTATATATTTATATATATATAGTAAGAACTTAAAATCTGTATATAAGTGTAAGTGATCTCACTTCGTACATTTTTATCTATTTTTTTCTGTGTGTCTAGGTTAAACAAATTAGTAGTGCAGATAGACTGTCTTTTTTTGGGTTGATGGTTAAGCCTGTTCAGAGATTTCCACAGTTCATTCTCCTCCTACAGGTAAGGAATGGTATCATGAAGATTTAATTTTGGTTCCTAATGAAAAATTCAGTTTAAAAAATATAGTTTTGGACTAGCACAGTTCATATTAAAAAAATAAGAGGAAGACCATAGTATACTTCATATATCTTATATTTGAGTAGCTTATGTTACTGTCAAAATTGAAAAACAACATCCTAGTATTAAAATATGTATTTATCCTACTTTTCATAAACAAATTATTCTTTTTCTTGTATTCTAATACCATTTTTTATAATATAAAGTAGATATTAGAATGGTAAAAGAAAATGGCACCTGCTTGCATGAAACTGGATGTAGAACTATGTGCAATAGAAATGCAGATCCCCTTTAAATGCTTTTCTGTGCAAGTCACTGTTATATTTAGAATTTAATTAAACACCCTTAATATTAACATAGGTGACTATATTTAATATTATAATGTGTGTTATGATTAAAAGATTTATTTTATCTAAGTTTTAAGTCCTCTATTACAAAATAAAGCTTCAAACGTATTGTCACATGACCAACGAGCTATGAAAAATCTCTACTTTGGCTCTCTGTATATTAAATAATACAATGGTAATAGAGTAGAGGTACGTCTAGCCATTAAGATGTTTACATAACCTTTTGACATGTACATTTCAAAGTACTCTGAATGAATACAGTTAAAACAAGTAATACATTTTTTCAACCATTGACAGCTGCCATGCCCACCTACAACAGATTTGTTTAAGCTTTATCTCTTCTGTGTAGACGTTACATACACATGTGTATATAACAGTTAGAAAGAGCTCATTCTACAATATAAACTAACAATGGTTATTTTGAAATTGGTGCCAAGTTTTCCTCACAGAGTACATGAAATTGATTATAGTATTGTTGACTGCTTGATCGACTATAGCACTTGTGGTTGTTTCTTACCTAAATATGTTATAATTTGAGACACAGTTTAAATTGTATTTAGGTCTTACTATTATATTTTAGTTAGTTATGTTTTAAAATGCATAATTGAAAGGTTGAAACATTTTTTAAATATATGTCATACTTCGCATCCGTTCTCAAGGCTAACAATATTATGTGCTGAACGAAAATTTTGCCAAAGGGCTGCGCACATCTCCCAAAGAAACTGTAATATGCCTCGAGGACACTGTTGACTTGTGTCAAGATGAATAATAAGTTGTAAAAGACAAGAAAGGAAAATAAAACCTTAAAAATTAACTATATATATGTGAAAAGGAAAAGAAATGAAATTACATGTTTAACAAAAAGAAACTTCTAAAAGATATTCTACAAAAAATTAAAAGGTATGTTTTTTTTTCTGTTTCTTAATTTCAAATATTGTATGTTGATGATGATAGCTAGATTTAGTGATATGGTAGAGGAAATTAAAAAACTATAAAAGTTTACCTTAAAAAATTTTTGATATCCTTTTAGAAGGTCTTAGAGATTATACAAATGAAACTATAAGATGAAACAAAGTATTTTTATACTTAAAATGAAAATCACTTTGCACTAGATTTGTTAATAGTTTGAATGTAAGTAACTACAAGAGAAAATGACATATTTTTAGTAAAAACACTAAATTATAAAACTGTCATTATTTGTATACAAGATACTTATGATCTTTAACAAAATCTTACCAGTATTTGAGAGAATACATTATAAATCTCAAAGTTACCACATGTATTGTTGTACAAGTGAAATTTGAGACTCAATTTATGCAAATTGCATGAGCCTGCTGCAAAAGGGTTAAAATGTATTCAATAGAAAAGTTTATTTCCACAATAAAAAAAAAAATGATCACAAAAAATTTAATTTTGGGTTGACTTCAACATCCTCCCAATAAAATCCTTAGCACTTGTGAATTTCTTTAATTTTTTCTGAGCATCATATGGTGATTGTAGTCCACTAGGAGGAAAGTCACAATAGTTTTGAACAAAGCAGTGCTAATTTGACTTTGAAGTTGAATATTAGGGTAGTTCTTTCTATTATTAGAAATAACTCTTTCTCAATCATGGTTGTTGTGGCATGATGTAATTGCCTATATTTCAGTTTTTAGAATTTGTAGACAAGTAAACACCTACAGAAATATTTTGTTACACTGGTTAAGCTAATGTCATTTCCAGATTAGCAGAGATGTACTTGGATAATGGATCAGCCCTAAAAAAGACTGCATGTTTTGGTGTTCTTATGTCACCATCTTTAGTAGTAAAAGTTGAAATTAGATCAAAACTTATATAATTACACAATAATTTGCATGTCCATGTCATCCATGGACACAAAAATTACCCACTCCACAATTGTATTTAGAGCTTTAAAAATCTTCACTCATGATTGTGATTTAAGATCAGAATTAATTTCCTTGAAACAAGACGGAAGCTATGATTCCAAAATCATTGATATATTGTACAAAAAACATAGCAATAAATTAAAAATGTCATCATGTACAAAGTTAAAAGGAAGGGGTAAAACTGATAACATGGTGGTATGTTTGACATATGTTCAAGGTTTGGCAACAAGAATATGCAACATAATTAAGAAATATATAGATTGTAATGTAACATTCTCTCTGCATTGTAACTTAAATAATTTTGTCATGGGTATTAAAGGTGAAATAGAACAAGCTGAGGAATGTGTCTTTGATCGAATTTATGTTGGCCAAATGTGCAGGAATTTGAAGTTTAAGATCGAGGTACATGAAAATGCAGTAGAAAAATAAAAAGTAATGACTTGGCCTCAGCCACATGTGGTAAGCACAACTCATGTTTTAGATTGGAATAATGTGAAACTGATAAGTCAGGTTGAATAATCAAATAAATTAAAAATATGACTTTAACAAGTTTTGATTTGCCAACAAGGCCACTGTGGTAGGTCTTGTTTACATTAGGCCTTATTGACCTAAGTAATTGCTTGAATGGGCAAGGAAAATCATGTAAAAAAAGAATAAAAAATTGATTTAAAACTTATTGCATGTATTAGGTATTTTTGAAAAAAAAGTTGGGTTGCTTATGATTTTGGTATAATAAAAAAAATATTGTATGCCAGTGATCATAAACAGAGAAACTGTATGCAGTGTGTTTTGAATCAAAACAAAGAAATAAGTTGTTTTTATTAAATAAAATCTTTATAGCATAATTTTAAAATAATGTAGGAAAACATAAAAAGTAATTAAATTTGCAACAAAGGTAAACACTTTTAATTATTTATTTAAAATATTTTATAATGAAATCTTTTGGAAATTTCATAAGCTGCAAATATCATGTATAAAAAATAAAATATTTCCAGAAGTTACATAATGTGTAGAAGGTTCTTCTGAAGTTTCAAACTATTTCATCTAGTAGTTCTTTTTCCATTGTGAATAAAACAAACCATACAACAGGCGTGTTGAATTGCCATACCTGGGTCTGATTGTTAATTTCTTCTTAGTATTCATAATTCAATGTCTCCTTTCTTCCATGGAAACTTAAGATTTTTTTCAAAAATAAGGATTTACTTTTGTAGGGTTTGTGATTATTAAAGCTAATTAAGTACAGGTATAATAAAAATGTGTAAAATTTTATAAAGACAAGTAGGGATTGATATATACATAACCTAGCTAGCTATAGTAATGTAGAAAGTTTTAATGCTAGAAAAGGTATTTAAACAAGAAAGTCAGAACTACAAAAACTGAGTTACTTAAAATTTTAATCTTTTTATCCCTACTTTAGCCAATCACTGATTATGTTAGTCTGAGCAAATCACTGTAATTATGTAAGTTGGAGCCAAAGTAGAAATAATTTTTTTTTAAATAACACTGTTTTTGTAGTTTGACTTTTTTGTTTAAATACTTTTTCTAGCATTAAAGCTTTTTATATTACAATAGCTAGTTAGATTATGTGTACATCAAGCCCTACTTTATAAAATTAAAAACATTTTTATTATACTTGTTTTCTTTTTATTAGCTATACTTTTGTGCACCAGCAATACCAAGCATAGGGCACACATATACCCAATTCGATTTCATTACTCATCAGGATTGTTACCAACCTACTCTCAGATCTAATTATATGCTAAAAGTAGCTCATTGTCCATTTTATATATATATATATATATATATATCCTCTTTGGTACAAGAAATGAATCATTGAGACCCCAGACAGAAGAGTCTTGTGAAAGAATTAGAGTGATAAGGTTTGTCATTTTTTCTGTATGCTTGTCTGGAAAAGTCACTTACTTATTTAGATGAAATAATGAAATTTTGATTCATTCCATAAAGAGGTATATAGTGATTTAGGTGACTTTATAGGTACAATAAGCTTTAGTTTTGCTCTGCCAATGCTGTGAAGTAGTCATTGTTAATATTCAGACATTTTAAAGGTGGTTTTAAATGGGCAGTTTTTATGGCCACCATTTTGTTTCATCACGATCCCTACTATTAAGTATTGCTGTACCAAATGATATGGTAACCCATGATTTCAAATTCTTGTGTTATTTAGCAAATCCATAATTCCTTCTTTCTTTGTGTATAACTGATGTCTTTATGTATCATTTATTGTTATTAAAGCATGCATCTTGTTATGGGACCACCCTGTATCTTATTAAAACATAATACAGTAGTGTATTCTCATATGCTTTTTCTGTTGAACTCTCAATTTAGTTTTGTGGTTTCTTTATATATTCTTTTATCTTTGCATTTTAGAGTTGTTATAATCTGTAATTAATTTGTGTATTTCTCTTTTAAATGACTAGTTTTAAACACTGTTTAAGCTTCAGTAAAATAATTTTGAATTGATATAGATAGATTTGGTAATAGATTTGAATCAAAAGTATCTTTGCAAAACTGAATAAGACTCCATTTAATCAAATAGTTACAACAGATTTTTTGTAGATACTAGTAGTTCCAGTTGAGATTTTCTCATTATCCAATTAAAGTGATAAGCTATTGGGATTTTGATCAGTGCTTCTCTTTGTGTTAAATTATTGAAGATCATATTAAATATGGCTTTAATGTTTATCAACAGGTAAGTTCTTGTGTTAATTTTTCTTTATTTTTTTACCTTTTTTACATGCAATGCTATTTTCATACTTTGTTTTGCATAATGGTATTTTAAATATGAAAAATATGAAGGTTTCTTATACAGTTGTATTTTTAGTAGATTAAGTTTATATCAAAAATTAACAGAATAAATATTTCTTTCAGGACCTACTTAAGCACACTCCTCCAGGCCATCATGACCGTATGTCATTACAATTAGCTCTGACACAGCTAGAGTCTCTTGCCGAAACATTGAATGAGCGGAAACGAGAGTCAGAACAACATTATGCTGTACGAGAAGTGCTGAAGCATTTAAACAACAAATTCTCATTGAAGTCTATAGCAGATACTGACCACTACCTGCTTAGACAGGATGATGTTTTGCAGTTGGTAAGAGTGTGGGATGTGACACATGTTTTTGTTCCTAAATTCATACATGATGTAATATTTTTTATTAACAAACACTTATCTTTTGCTTATGATGTTAAGGCTGTGATGAATATTGATTATTTCCTATTGTACTGTTGCTTTGGATTGTTGTGTATCTTTTGGTTACAGGCTTAAGTCAATTTTGAATAGATTTCCACTGTATGTATGCTGTATACATTTACTGTTCACCATAAACAACCTTTGGTAGGACAAATGGGTTTGGATGTATAGTTGCTGTTCAGATTAATTTTACAAAATGGGTATAAATAACTGCAACCAATGGCATTGAAACTATATTACTGAAGGTCATAGTTGATAGTGATCATGATCTGTTTTAATAGGATAAATGTTTAATAAGTCTATTAGCCCTGCTGACCATTTACTGACTACCACTACCGTAACCAGAGCCAATATTTTTCCAAGGTTAAATCTCAGTCTCAAACTATAACTTTCAATTATATAAGTGTTTCTGTGACTAAGTGCAGAAAACCAATAAACAACTGAGGATATAACCCTATTGGTATCTTCATAACTAGTTATAGCCCTCCTTACTTATACTTACAAATTTTTTAACTTTAAATATTTTATTGCAAATAATAGTATTATTAAAGTGATTGACTTGTTTTTCAAAGTATTATTGTTGTTCCTTAATAATTGTTTTTCTCAAAATTTTGCTTCTCATTAAACCTGCTTAATTCTATTCATTAGGAAGTAGACCAACATGGATTAGTTGTTAAATCCAAAGGTAGACAACTGTTTCTCCTGAATGACCTTCTAGTATGTGTTTCTGTGGTTTCAAAGTAAGTTAATTAATTTTTGTTTTATACAAAACAGCTTAATAAGTGAATACTTGTGAATAATTTGATCAACAAAAAATTTTTTTATTCCTTTTGAAAGTTTTTAGTGTGTGTTCTTTCCTTGAGAAAAAAAATCATAGTATGTATATTTACTTCTTTCTTTAATCCGTTTTTTCTCTTTAAATTATACTATGATTGTTAATTTCAGGTCATCAGAAGGAAGTCATGGAGGAGAAAGGTTCAATTTGAAGTGGGCCGTACCTCTTATGGATGTTGAAGTGCAAGAAAATGTTGCCCCAGCGACTCGAAATTTGCTAGCATCTTCTGAACGAAATCGAACATCAGTGTCAAGGGGATCTGGTAGGTTTTTAACTATATGTTGCTCACCAATTCAACTAGTACTGTCTCTTTCATGCATAAGTAAGATGGAAAAGAATGTGACTGATCACTTTGTTTTTATTATAAGTTGTGACCAACAGTTTTTCCCTCCCTTATTTTTTATAAATTAACCTTGGATTACACTATTAATTAAGAACTAATTTCAATGAAATAGTGAAAATTATTAAATATAAATTTATATATATATATATATATATATATGTGCCATTTGTTCTCGCCTCACTTAATAGCTTTGTCAGTCATGAGCCAAAAGTTGAGACTATATTTTTGGTAAGAAAGTTTACAATAAAAGTGTACAATGTTTATTCTCTACTTCAGTAGTATTTTGTTTCATCAGAAAATGACAAAGTAGCATTAAATGGATAATGTGTCTGCAGGAAATAGTCAAAAATGGATTAGTTATCTGTACTTTTATTTTGTAATTAATCAATACCTTTAATTATTGTGCTGTTGTTGATGAAAATCATTTTGATTCATTTTATGATGTAATATGGTATTTGTAGCTTTAAAATATTGTTATTGTCCTTGTTTACTAATACAAGTTATATCATATTTTACATTTTGAAAATGTTTCAACATTAGAGCAGTCTTAAACCCTATGACTACCTGTGCACTCTTTAAATTCATTTCCGTGCAAGACTCAAAGTGTTAATGAGTTACATTCAACATTTAATTAAAGTACTTTACTATCAATGTAGTTTAATGATTTTAACATTAACAAGTACGTTATTATTCAAAGTTTTATATTATTTTAAGTTTTTATTCCTTTATTTCAAAAGAAACCTGTAAAATAAAACAATAATTAAATCTTCAGTTTTCTTGTCATGTGAGATGCTCATTTCATGGTTAAGGACATCTTGACTTTTATTTCAACTGTGTTGTGGCTTAGTACAGGTTTTGCTCAGAATGCTAAAGTACATACATATACTGCATGTTTACCACTAACTAGGTCGAATTCCAGAACTCTGTTCCAAGAATGACAGTGTTAAAGTTCTCCCCCACCAGTTTATAGTGCATCCTTTTGGATAAAACTGCATGTTTTATGATGAGATTTCCATGATGAACAACTTAAATTGAAATAACTATTCATGCAAGTTATAAAAGTAAACTAGATATTATCTACTCATTAATCAATTGTACTTTACAGCTCTACACATGTAAATACATTTATAATAACTATTTTGAACATTATTATAAACTGTTTTGCACTTGATTATATATATGGTAGGCATTATGTCATTCTAATCCTTCAGTTTAAGCATTCTATGAAAGTGTATCAAACTGGTTAGATGTATGTAGGTGTGAACAAACAGTTATAGCTATCTGAAGGATATTTAGTTGCTTAAGCATAATTGAAAATATAAAGGATATATCCTAGCCAGAATGATGTAGAACAGTATGATACTTGCTTCATTAGCACAAGGACTGCTTACCATTCTGTAGGTTTGAATACATTATGGTTTAAGAATACTTGTTTCATTGTTAACCTGCAAGTAGATCTTAAGGAATTAATGTTTATTTGTGGTATACAAAAGGGAAATTTGTTTGCACCTCCACCCATCCCCTGGCAATGCCTCTGTAATGAAATAAAACAAAAATACTCAATTAAAAAGGGCATAATAATATAGCTATTAGAATGAAATGATTTGTATTAAAGCAACTGTTCAGTAAAATATTAGAAATAAGCTATACTTGTGATCAGGAAAACACTATTTATGTTTATAAAAACAAGAACTTTGAATGAATACTTACAAAAATTACACCAACTTTTAAGCAGGTCTCCCTGGTTATAGTCAGTGACATCACTAAGCTCTGATTCTTTTACTCGGGACCTGGCATGGCCTGGTGGTTAGTGCATTTGACTTTCATTCTGTGGATTGTAGGATTGAATCCTATCATTATACATGCTTGCCATTTCAGTCATGGAGGCATTATAATGTGATAGCCAATATCACTACTTATTGGTAAAGAGTAGTCCAAGAGTTAGTAGTGGGTAGTGTTGAATAGTTTCCTTACCTCTAGTCTTTCACTTCAAAATTAGCAACAGCTAATGCAAATAGCCTTAAATATCTTTGTACAAAATTCAATAAACAAACCAACCATCCCTTTTTTTGTAGATTTGTATGACATTTTACACTCAAATTTGAACCATAAAAAGCACAAACAAGAATTACTTGTTGCAGTTTTGATTCACTAAACATGAATAAGAAAAAAAAATATTGAGAAAGTGCTGTACAATACATTATAAAACAATATATTAAATTTTGGGAAAAATTATAAAAACAAAGTTCTAAATTAGGCTTAGAAATTTGAAATTGCAGAAAATTCTATTTTAAAAGTTGGTACTTGAAGAGTATCAAGAGTGATGACAAATATAGCAAAAAACTTGGAAGTTTAATTATAATAATCTGAATTGAATTAAACTAGTCTACTTTGTATACTCGTGAGACAATTATCTGGATATCTTGTAGGCATGATTGAGGAACCTGTAAACTGTCATCTCAGAACTGGAATGTTTATCCTATATTAGGGAGACAACATTACTGATGCCTTTATTGAAATAACCTTGAGAAAAGAAAAATTAGAGGACCTAATATTTGAAGCTGTTTCTGTCTTGTAAACATTACTGAATCACTGTCAAGATTTTATTTCAATTTTTACCCTTATACTTTGATTCATTATTGCAGGCAATGGTGGGACTGTACAGTGTGTTTACGATGAGCTCAGTGATTTGGTGCACGACTTGGAAATTATGAGTAGAATTTCTTCTCTAGTGGCATCACTTCGTTTAAACTACAGTGTGAGTAATCCATGTATTTGTCATTTTCAAAGTAGTTATTTTAACCTTGTGTTTTACATTTTCTACAAAACAATGAAACATATAAGAGAGAAAAGCTGTAAATCAAATGTTTGACTGATATACAAAGTGTACACCAGACCAAACTAGGTTTACATAGTAATACTGCATTTATCATTAGAAGAAACAGTGGTACATTAAAATTTTATTACAGAATAGTTTAAGATTATACCAAGTGTGACAAAAATGAAAAATAAAGATTTGCAAGTATTGTTTTTTTTTTTGCACATAGAATGTATTGTATCATAAAATTGACTAATAAAAAGGGGGATTCAATAATTTTGATTTTTTATCAGAAGTTACACCAGGTTGGTTTTTTAATATTTGTTAACTTTTTGACATATTTTATAAATACACGTATATTAATGTAATATGGGAGTTTAAAGGGTCCCTGCCTTTTACCTGGTGAAATTGGTATAGGTGAGTGATGTTATATTATACCATATTAAAATATCCCTCAATTTTATATAACTGACATCTATGATTTTTTAAAACTTGGTGTATAACTAGTTTTGTAAAAAGACTGGAGATGAACCATAAACTGATCATCTTTTATTTTCATATAAAGTTACATTATTTATATGAACTAAAATTCAATTTATGCAGTTAAGGCAAAAACAAATAATAAATAAATAAAATATTTCACTAATCAATTGACTTTTTTTTTTGACCAGTCAAATGCACAAACCTACAGTTTTGTGATAAATGTGGTTTAAAGGTGAATTGTAGAATCAAAATTATTGTCGGTAGAAGGAGTGGTTGTATTAGGAAGACTGAAATGTATTTGGATCATGAAAATATGAAATTGTAGAAAAGGTTCATCAGAAATTTTGAGGCTGGAAAATGTAGTAGTGTTGCTGTTCTTATTTAATCTGGATGTAACTCACTGTATGTAGTTTGTCCTTTAAGGTGTATCAAGTAACTTGTTGAAGGTTTTAAATATGCCAGTATAATGAAACACTAAAAATTTATGATGATGAGGATAAACTTGATTTAAAATAGTTCAGGTTTTATTATTTTCTCGTGTGTTTGGTTTGTTGTGTCTGAGTCTAGGGTTGGTAACAAAGGTTTGTAGAAATGTTTAAACAAAGTATGAAAGATTGTACTGTCCAAACGTATAATTCATTTAGAAGTGAAAAATATTGTGCAAGTTACAAGAAACATCATGTAATTAGTGATTTCAATCCTGAATCTTACCAAGAATCTATGTACAGTGTTTACTTTCTTTTGATGTATCTCTATTATTAGGGTGTTGTAAAAGGTTATTTTATTAAAATATATTTCAAAAATTTGCTGTCTGGTATGCCACTTGGCTGTAATGGAAGAGCAGTATGATTTTTTATTTTACTACAGTAGTATACTAAGAAACAGTATGTGTTTAACATAGTCTTACAAAACAATTCTGTAAGATCTATGTATGTTGATATAAAACAGACTAGAGATGAGAATTATTATGCAAATTAGTGTTGTATGAGTACCTCACTTTTTAAATTTAGAAAACAATTATTAAATTTAATGTAATGACACAGTTATATGGGGAAAAAAAAGAACCATTAATGGGAGTGTATTAGTAGCTCTTAATGCATATTGAATATTTTGGACTATGGGCAATTTATGTGTATAATACCAAGTAAAGTATTATTATCTATATATCCAGATCTAACTCTTTCAGCACGAGCTTGGTGTCAGGCACCGATCTCATAACCATTTTGTGCTTGTTATAGTTTTCATGCCATAACTTTTAAATTAATAAGCATATGTTAACGAAATTTGGCAGATTATCAGTAAACAATAAAATGCTTTCATACACAAAATATCAGATAGTTTCATGAAGTCTTAAGGTTTGTAAAGCAATGTTTTTCTCGTGCCTTTTTTTTTCTTTTGACATGTTGCCTATCCAACATGCAAAGTAATTTTGATTTTAAGATTAAAAATACTTCAATTCATAAGAAACTTTTCAAATTTCAAATACGAAATCTTTATAATGTCGAGATAGTTATCAAATATTTCTCAAAGAAAAAACTTTATATTTTATCTATTATTTTCAGAAGCGAATTTCTGTATGGGTTCGGTAGATTTGAACGATCTCGC